AAATGTGTTTCTGACACGCAAAAACTTATACGAACTCCTCTACGCGTCGTTCGCCTAACTGTATTTGTATGCGGAAAATTAACACTTTGCGCACTTGTTAGGAAAATAACTATTTACCACAAACCAAACCGATTTTATAACGTCTTAAAACGTACGAAGTAATTACTATATCGTGCCACGCCTCCATCAAGGCCTCTACACTCAAGGACAGGTATCAAACAAAATGCAGTTGTGCATGATGCACCCTGTATAGGGAGAGTGTTTCTCCATTATTTATGCTTGGGAATTAGCGCTCGTGATTGTCTGCCCTGTATTTTTGGAACACCCTGTTTACACGCATATTAAAGAAAAGTCTGAATTTAGAGAAGAAAGTCTGAATTCAGAGGAAGAAAGAATGAAGTTTAAGAATTCAGAGACAAAAGTCTGAATTCAGAAAAAAAAGTCTGATTTGGAAGAATGAAGTCTGAATTCAGAGAAAAAGTCTGAATTCAGAAAAAAAAGTCTGATTTCAAAGAATGAAGTCAGAATTCCGAGTATAAAGTTGCAAAATCTAATTTCAGTGAAAAAAGTCTATCTGAATTTAGAGAAAAAGTCTGAATACAGAGAAAATAGTCTGATTTCAAAGTTGAAAAAGTCTGAATTCAGAGAATGAAGTCAGAATTCAGAGTATTAAGTTGAAAAATCTGATTTTAGAGAAAAAAGTCTGCCTAAATTTAGAGAAAAAGTCTGAATATAGAGAAAAAAGTCTGATTTCAGAGTATAAAGTTGGAAAAGTCCGAATTCAGAGTATAAAGTTGAAAAAATCTGATTTCAGAAAAAAGTCTGACTTCGAAGAATGAAGTTAGAATTCAGAGTATAAAATTGAAAAAATCTGATCTCAGAGAGAAAAGTCGGAATTCACAGGAAAAATGTAAGGACTTGAGAATTCAGAAACAAAAATCTGAATTCAGAGAAAAAGTCTGAATTCAGAGAAAAAAGTCTGATTTCAAAGAATAAAGAATGAAGTTAGAATTCAGAGTATAAAGTTGAAAAAATCTGATTTCAGAGAAAAAAAGTCAGAATTCAGAGAGAAAAGTCTGAATTCAGAGAATGAAGTCAGAATTCAGAGTATTAAGTTGAAAAATCTGATTTTAGAGAAAAAAGTCGGCCTGAATTTAGAGAAAAAGTCTGAATATAGAGAAAAAAGTCTGATTTCGGAGTATAAAGTTGAAAAAGTCCGAATTCAGAGTTTAAAGTTGAAAAAAATCTGATTTCAGAAAAAAGTCTGAATTCAGAGAGAAAAGTCTGAATTCAGAGAAAAAAGTCTGAATTGAAACGAAACAGTCTAAATTCAGAGGAAAAATTAATGAAGTTTGAATTTAGAGACAAAAATCTGAATTCAGAGAAAAAAGTTTGAATTCAGAGAATGAAGCATGAACTCAGAGAATTAGGTCTTAAATCAGGAACTAAAGTCTGAAATCAGAGAAAAAATGCCCAACAATACTGTGAGGTTGGTTTTTCCCTGAAATATTGCCTGAGAAATGTTTGCTAATCTTAATGCATCAATCAAAATGTACGACGCTATCCAAAATTCGTCGCTGAACTGTTGAAATTGAATATCATATTGAATGTATCTCTATAACCAGTCAATTGCATATCTTATAACTGCTGAAAATAATGAGGGGAAGGTGTATTTTATATAAACAAGCAGAGGATGAAACCTAACACTAAAAATTGCCCGATATCATCCTGGGAACACCTTGTAATGCACAGTTCATTCCAGCGCCGAACCTGTTCAATTTGATTCAGACCCGGTGATCCTGCTGACCCAAAATACAACTCATACCCTCTAAAATGAAATAAAATCAGTGCATTTCTTGACCGTGCACTAAACTTGAAATTAATACGGGTTCCAGCTTCGTAGCATTGAAGCCTTTAATTGTCAGTGTCTGTGGTTCGTGTAAAGCCGGTCAAAAAAGTAAAAGGATGAAAGTGCATGCGATAATGGTTTTCTATTAGATTGCGTAATAATCGAAGAGCATAACTATCATTTCCTTGTGGATACGTAACGATAGAAACGAATGAGGTGAAAGTTATTAGAAGAAAAAGTGTACGTTATGTTGGCGTTCTGTCTATTAGAATGGTGTTCTCTCATATGTGTTCTCTGATTACGGTAGAAAACTGACTGGTTGGTGGAAGAGTACTGCAATCTTCACAGCAATTATTCATACTTTTGCTACGATTATATCAACTAATCTTTTGTTACAATTTTACTAGGACGTATTTTCAAGGTTTCTATATATACAGGGTGTCCGCTAAAAGGAGGTCAATCCATTAACCACATATTCCTTGAACAAAAACAATATGAGTATCTAAATATCATTTTTCATTTTAGCCCTTCATATTCGGTATACAGGGTGTCAAAGTTGGGAATTAAAAACTGTTTTTTTCTAATTACTCGCGTATTTGATAAGATATTAATCTCAAAATTGGTACATTACTTCAGCACAAAGAGTTACATCGTGTGAGGAAAACAAAACAGAAAATAACTGTCAAATATTCAAGATACTGGGGGTTAAGTTCACACTTACCCCCATATTTTGTTTGTACGTGCGCTAATGACTTCCTATCTATTTTCCTTCAAGTGTTCAATCATTTTCAAGTATTTTTTGTTTCCTGTAAAATTTCGATTGAATCATTTGTTTTTAAGATAATTCGAAAAGTACTGGTTATTGTTTAATGCCTATGCGGCTGAGGTAATCTCATAATGTTCACATACTCCTATTTATTTCGTCGAAATTGAAAGAGGGCGTATCTTTTTACGTACGAAAAGGTAAATATGGAAATACCGGGTGCTCGGAGCAAATGTACTAAAATAATTTTTACAAAAAAAAAATTTAAAAAGTGTAAAAATTATTTTAATACATTCGCTCTGAGCACCCGGTATTTCCATATTCACCTTTCCGTACGTAATAAGATACGCCCTCTTCCAATTTCGACGAAATAAATAGGAGTATGTGAACATTATGAGATTACCGTAAGCCGTAAGGCATCAAACAATAATCAGTACATTTCGAATTATCTTAAAAACAAATAATTTTATCGGAATTTTACAGAAATCAAAAAATACTCAAAAGTGATTGAACACATGAAGAAAAATAGATAGAAAGTCATTAGCGCACGTACAAAAAAAAATGGGGGTAAGTGTGTACTTGACCCCCAGTATTTTGAATATTTGACAGTTATTTTCTGTTTTGTTTTCCTCACACGATGTAACTCTTTGTGCTGAAGTAATGTACCTATTTTGAGATTAATATCTTATTAATTACGCGAGTAATTAGAAAAATACAGTTTCTAATTTTCAACTTTGACACCCTGTATATCGAATAAGAAGGGCTAAAATGAAAAATGGTATGTAGAAACTCATATTATTTTTGTTCAAGGAATATATGGTTAATGGATTGACCTCCTTTTAGCGGACACCCTGTATATTATGTATAGTATCGATTGAAAGAAATCTTTTCAAGAATCCCAAAAATGTTCTTCCTACAGTTTTGTTCATGCGGTTATAAAGATATAGCTCGAAATGTATTGAAAAAACATCTGTTCTACTTGATCTTTTAGGTTTGTAGCTAAAATATTTATATCATCAGGGTTAGTAGTATACAGAGTGGGCCGTTGAAAACGAAACAGAGGCTCTGTAGGTCGCCAAAACCGGATTATAAAAAAAATCTGAAACACGTCAACTATATTTTCGAGGGGGACATCGTTCTAAAATATTTTCAGCCCTGCGGCGTTGCCGCTTCTAGAGAAAAGAAGCAACAACTTTGTTATTTCAAATGGAACACCATGTATTTTATTGTATTTTTAGATTCTCCCCGAAGAGCTGATTTCATCAATGTATCACACTTGGGGTCCAGCTGAAATGGTTTCAGGGTTATAAAGTGTTCAAAATCGAGATTTTTCAACTTTAGCATTTTTTTGTGTCGAAACTATTCATTATTGGTCAAAACGGCTTTCATGTCCCTATCTCAACTTGTGATTTACTATCTACTGACATTTATTTGATACAAATACAGGGTGGTTCAAGATTCAGAATTCTGATCACCCTGTATCTGTTCCAATTAAATGTTAGTAGATAGTAAATCACAAGTTGAGATAGGGACATGAAAGCCGTTTTGACCAATAATGAATAGTTTTGACACAAAAAAATGCTAAAGTTGAAAAATCTCGATTTTGAACACTTTATATCGCTGAAACCATTACAGCTGGACCCCAAGTGTGATACATTGATGAAATCGGCTCTTCGGGGAGAATCTAAAAATACAATAAAAAACATGGTGCTCCATTTGATATAACAAAGTTGTTGCTTCTTTTCTCTAGAAGCGGCAACGCCGCAGGGCTGAAAATATTTTAGAACGATGTCTCCCTCGAAAATATAGTTGACGTGTTTCAGATTTTCTTTATAATCCGGTTTTGGCGACCTACAGAGCCTCTGTTTCGTTTTCAACGGCCCACTCTGTATAATAATAAGATAATAATAATAACAATAATAATATCGTTTATTGCCCAACAGTTACCCATTTACTGGACAAATTATTTAAAAGAAAGTTCGAAGTGTAGTTACAAACATTTTGATGAATAATATACAAGAATATTCAAATATAGATGGAGGAAAGAGAAAAAAGAAATAAAAGAATGAAAATACTACAATCTATAAAATATAAAAGGTAAAAAGGACTGCTACATATTACATAATGTTTTCATTCAGATATTGAATATCCATATTTCCTATATAATTCAGTATATCACGATGAATATCACAGTAAACAGAAGTCATGAATGAGAGGACACTCATTATTTTTTGACAGTATTTTCAAGAAACGAAAAATCGAAGTGATTATTTACTGTCAAGGAAGTGCCACATATTTTCCATCTTATTCAGATCGTTGAAAGATTCTTACTGAAAAATTCTGATTGGGGTATATTTCTGTTGTTGATTTTTGTGTTTTCTTTTTCAGGAATTATGACCCTTACGCGGACCCCGTGTGAGCTCGACAAGATGAGCCTTTTTCAGGATTTGAAACTAAAAAGAAGAAAAGTGGATTCTCGTTGCAGCAGTGACGGTATGTATTAAATCAAGCGAACTACTCTAAAATAATGGCCTTTATGTCATTACTGAAATTATTCTGTAACGATTCATCAACTTTTGTAAGTCACCCTATATACTAGCTATACATATAAGATACAGGGTGTTTTTTGATTTTTCTCAAAATAAATACACCATGTATAGGGTTTAGTTGAGGAGTTACAGGACTCTGATGACCTTAAATGATAACTCTAAAAGTAGTTGTCAGAAAATCAATTATTATAAATATCGAATACTTCGAAAGAGATTTGAAGAAATAGTCAAAATTTGAATATTCTTCCTTCCGCTACATAGTATTGATTTGTGTAGATGTTCAAGTTCAAATGAATAGTTTAAAATCAGGGTATCTCCCATGCTGTAATGAATTTCCGCCTGATGTTCGCTTCAAATATTTGATATTTTCATTTCATCATTTAAATAATTTGAGATTTCCCCATAAGACGGATTCTAACAGTTAATATCCAAGGTACTGACGAAAAGAGTTTCATGTTTGATTGTTGGATGTTTTGTGACCAAAGAGCAAAAAACAAAGACAAAGCATTGACAAAGTGAAAAAGAATGCGTAGAACTAAATGGAGAAAACCGAGGGGGAAACAACTACCCAAAATGTGTACACCATATTCAAATATTAGCAATTAAAAAGTACTTAAAATACTTAAAACTGGTACTCAAGATACTGTTAATGGGTACTTGAATACTGAAGTATTTAAAACGAGACTTAAAAGGCTTATTGAATATGTACTGTATGTATTAAAAATGATACTTAAAGTACTTACAATTCCATGGTGTACACCTATTGAAAGAGTTGTTTCCCCCTCGGAGAAAACAAGACAAGTGGATATGCACCTCCATATTAGAGGTCTGACCAATCAAGAAGTGTACCACTATTGTCGTCACTCTATTTATAAAGTCACTCTAGGTTTAAGTTACCGAACGTTCAGTTTACGAATCGATCAACCCGAGTAAGTTTCCGAAAACGCCTAATCTCTATCTCTTCTGTCTGCTTCTAGGCGAATCGATCGCCGACACGAGCACCTCCTCCTCGCACGACCTCCTATGCCCGCCCGCCTCGCCCAAAACGGACGGCCCTGCCTCCCACCACCAGGAGGGCCCCGCCCACCGGCATCAGGAAGGCCACGCCTACCACCGGCACCAGGAAAGCCCCGCCCACCATCGGCCGCCGCCCAGCCCCGACTCGATGACGCCCCACCCACTTGGCCACGCCCACCACGACCGCGGGCCGCCTGCGGTGGAGAGAAGCGACGCGCGATTGGACGAGCCGGGCGTGTTCGACGGGGGCGGTGGTGGAGGCGGGGACGGGGGCGGGACAGCTAGCGTCATCAGGTCAGTGGGTTGTTTGATATTCGACATGTTAGCCATTTTTTCTCGAATTTACCCTCACCAACCTTCTCGAAGTGTATTCCAATCTATGACGGAATAGTTAAACAACCACACAAAATAGCTCACTAAGGTATTTTTGTTTCCTTAATGTATGTGCTGAGGAGATATGTAGGTGGCATAAACAAAAAATAATGAATGTTTGATCAAAACGTGATGACTGAATTGATTCATCGATAATTAATGATACAACAAATATTTTTTCTGAAAAATTGAAAAATTTGTTTCTATTTTATGTGCGACGCATTGTGAATAGCCTTGACCACATCTCATTTATCCATGAGGAGAAATAATATATAAAGATTGCACTTGTTTTGAACTTGAATATGTAAAATTATACAGGGTGTTCCATTGTAAATGTTAATGATTATATTCATATTTATATGAGATGCAATGTAATGTCTATAGCAAAGATTGAAATAAAGATTGAAATAACTGTACCAAATTTCAGAAAGATCCGTTCACGAATGCAAAAGTTACAGGGGTGGCCCGATACCCTGTGTCACCCGGTATAATTCTATTCGAAACAGTGAAATTGAATTATTCGTGTGCCCGTTCGGGTTCAAATTCATGAAATTCGCATATGCACTAGTTCGTAATATTTTCCAACAATTTGAAACAACTTCTCATCCGTTGAAATCGTTCAAGTCACAGCTTGCAACTATTCCTCACCAGACCCCCGGTATATCCGTCTGTCTCCTTTCCAGGCACCTCCCGGTCATCCGATCTCTCAGCCCGCCCACCCGCCCAGCGCCGCAGTTCAGCCCCTCGCAGCCGCCTCGCCCACACAGCTCCCCCGGTCGCCACGCCCCCGCCAGTCCCCGCGCCAGCCCCGTCATCCGCCACACGCCCCTCCTCCTCCAACCCCCTGCCAGCCCACGAGCGGCGCTCGCCTGCCAGGAACCCACCTCCTCCTCCATGTCTCTCCTGACCGCGCCCACGCCCAGGGGCGTGATCATCGCCCAACCCACCGCCCCCTTCAACCAGCACTGGCTGAAGCATTCGAGGATCAACGGCGTCAAGCCCGAGATCATCGGCGGCACGTTCGTCAACCCGCCCGCCCCGCCCAGTCCCAGGAACAACCCCGCGGCGCGGCAAACGCCCACTGTCATCATGGGCGAAGCGGGCGGCGTGCGGACGATGATCTGGTCGCAGCCGTCGCTGACTCCGCCCCTCGGCGAGCCCACCACCTCAGGTTGGCCGGTCGCGACCAATACGGACGAGACGGCGGCGCAGCTGCTGCTCAACCTCGGCCAGGATCGACTGCGGCCGGCGAGTCGCTGCCTGGGACCGCCCACTTCCCCCACCTCCCAGTTCACGAGCGCGCCGCTCAACATGGAGCGACTGTGGGCCGGCGATCTGTGCCAGTTGCCGGCCGGGCAGCAGACGCAGGCGCTCAACCTGACTGCCCCCATTCTCGCCCCGCCCGGGCTGTATAGGGCGGGGCTGGAGGCCGGGCAGGCGGAGCAGATCGAGGAGGAGGAGCAGCCGATGATCTGCATGATTTGCGAGGACAAGGCCACGGGGCTGCACTACGGGATTATCACGTGCGAGGGGTGCAAGGGGTTCTTCAAGAGGACTGTGCAGAATCGGAGGGTGTATACGTGCGTGGCGGACGGGAACTGTGAGATTACGAAAGCGCAGCGGAACAGGTGTCAGTACTGTCGGTTTAAGAAGTGTATAGAACAGGGGATGGTGTTGCAAGGTGAGGAGTTCGTTATTTTTGATTTGTTGTAATTGGTGAATGCAGTATTGAAAACGGTGTCATTTTCAGTGTAACTAGTTATAGTGTATCCAATATCAATTGCAGAATATCCCGCACTGTGCGGTGTAGGCGTGTTTGAAGTTCGTTTGAAGTGACTGCAATTGTTTTTGGATACACTAAAAAAAGAGTGTTTCATTTTGTCGTTTTTTCTGTGGGATATTTCCCTTATATATTGAATGTTTCATATGAGCAATGCAATTATCGAAAAATCACAGCGTTTATTTCACTCATTATAAAATACACCTTACACTTCTCACTTGACACAGATAACATTTTCAGGATGGTATACCTGTTTACCATCCACCATCGGCCGATATCTATCATCAATATATTTGAGAATGTTCACCGAATTGATTTCAACAAGCACCATCGTTCAAGAATCACTCTGAACAGTTAAATTTCGAAATAAAAATGAAATTATCACATTAAATGGGGGTTCTCATGACACTATATCATTGATACCATATACAAATACGAATACATGGACCGATGTCGTTTAGAACTTCTATGCTTGTTGTGGTCCGACTACGGTGGTCCAGACCTGCCGCTAAACGTAGCCCAAGTGTCCGTACTCTAATATACAAAAAACGTCAAAATAGCAGTGTCAAGTACGTTTAGGAACTCTAACATGAGTTATATGACAAGTCAACAAAGCAGCACACAAAATAAGTTTAACACAAAATAATAGAGATAATGATAATAATACGTTCCTAATTAACAGTAATATTGATATTGACAAATAAATCAAATGGACAATGCTATATATAGGCAATGACATATAAAACTGCAATAAGACTTTATAGTCTTTATTAGCAGAATTAAAACCTCCTCCCCACTCCAGCCGAAATGTCTTTGCAGCCGTTCGGGAAGACCGGATGCCGGGAGGCCGTAACAGCGGCGCCGTCTACAACCTCTACAAAGTGAAATACAAGAAGCACAAGAAGCCCACCACCAAGCAGCAGCAGCAGCACCAGCAAAAGAGCCCGATGTCGCCGCAGCAGCAGTACAAGCAGGACCAGCAGTTCAAGCAGGAGCAGGCGCCGATGGGCGCCATCTGCGCCGATCTAGTCAACGGCACGATCCTGAAAACGGCGCTGACCAATCCCAGCGAGGTGGTGCGCTTTCGGCAGCGCGTCGACAGTGCCGTGAGTAGTTCGCGGGACAGGAATTTCTCTGTGGAGTACTCGCTGTCGATGATCAAGACGCTGATCGACTGTGATGAGTTCCAGGTGAGAGGATGATTTGGCCCGAAAAATCAGACAATTATTCGAGAACTCGGATTCCTTCATCAACTAAATCATGAAAAAAATTTCTCACCAACAACCAACTACAATGACACAAATATTTCGTCAACAAATGACTCGACAAACTTATCAAGACCCAAATCAACTATGCATAGTATCTTCGGTTTGTTTTCTTTTGCAGCTCCAACATGTTCTCGTGGCCTTGAGTCGTTGTTAGTTGGGCGTTGGTGAAATGCGAATGAATATCAACACTCATTTTATCACGTGCAGCTTTTTAACTAACCAACTACTCAATTAACTGATAACCCAACTCAAAAAGCCAATACATCAACACTCGTTGCCAGTTGTTCCTAGGAGAATTCTTGTATATTCCATCTCGTTCGGCCTATATTTTTGTCCACGACCTTTGATCACTTTACATCAACACCAGTTAACATTTCGGCGTGCATACCTTTAGATGAATACATACTTCTCATTTCGTTGCTTCGCTAGTATCATCATTTTATCATTTAACATAGTTCCAACTAGAGTCACTGGATGTTATTAGTTTGATAAGAGTTCGGACACAGAAATGACAACGGTTAGGGTTTTTGAGTGTTTAGATTTATTAAGTTTCACACCTTGCATTGTGACAAGAGCACCATAGTCGTCCCGCGCTTTTTCATTCAAAATTGTTTGAATTTGACAATACATTTTATAAACGTCAGAATTGAAATAAAATTTCATAATTATACATTCGAGATGAAAGCAGCTATGGAAATTACTTGCTGTGTAATAAATTGTGCCAATTCTGAAGAAAATGGATATCATTTATTCAATTTTCCGAAACAAATATCAACCATTCGCTTATGGAAGGAAGATATGGAATGGCCTGGATGCAAAATCAATTTGAAGACGAGCAAAATTTGTGAGGTACTCATTAAAATTCACTTTTTATAACAGCATCTGATTAGAATGAAACTATATTTTAGGCCCATCTTCAAACAGAAGATTTCAAATTCTGTTTGTGAGAATCTGCTGTTCCATCAATTTACAAAGCAGGCGATTTCGAGAACAAATTTCCATTATTATCATCACACAAAATACAAAACGAAATGATCTCATGGAAAAGAGGAAATGATCGCAAAATTACATAATGAAATTGAGAATTTGAAAACGAAACTAAGAAAAGCAAGTAAACTAGAGTGATATATTATTGAATGGCGTTTTTGGTGCCGACCAAATTTAAAATTCAACAGTGGACAGTGAATAGTTATTTATGTATCAAGGGAATTATTATAAGGGCCTTAATTACGCTGGAGGTTAATGTTTTGGAGATATTTTCTATATCGATCCATGTTACTTATTAGCTCCTAGGGCGCTAAGTGGAATTGTTGAGAACTTTACACAACCAAGTATTTGGTTGGTCTCGTCAAAATAAACTACTTTTTTCCTATCAAATGTTTATCGAAAAATGATTTGTTCTTTGTATTTCAGCACTCTGTATCTACGAAATGATGCATTTCCGGACACAAAAGCTTATATAGACTTTATTTCTTATAATTGTCTCAGGAATACTTCACTTGAAAGTACTTATGTTACTTCCTGTAAATTGAGAATATCTCTCTATCATGTTTTATACTCATCACTGGAGTACAGTTTCACATATAATAAGGAATTATAGCTATAAAAGGTCATCCATATGTGTATATTTTCTAATATTAAAATGTTGTTACATGCATTCTTTTCATTTATATAACAGTTGTTCTGTTAAAAGTGTATCACTATAAATTGAATTGGGTGTTTGTACCCTATACCCATTGTCCATCTACGGCTATGATTGATTTGACAGAAAATATAACCTCTAAAATCGTATCTGACAATCAGGCACTACTAGGGAAATTGAAAAGACAAAGAGCCGAATATATGTCTTATTCTTTTATTCACCTAAACCATTGTATTATAGAAAATAGAAAAGGACAAAAGTTCAGCTGTGTCCGAACTCTTATCAAACTAATACCATCCAGTGACTCTAGTTCCAACATGTTCGAGTGGCGTTCGGTCGTCGTTAGTTGATTCGTCGATGAAATGTTAATGATGATCAACAATTACTGGAAGAACTGCTCGACCACAACACCGTCCTGGGCAAGAAGCTGTGCAACATCGGCGACTCGAAATTCTACTAGCTGGTGCAGTGGACGAAAAGGTTTGCCCTTCTATTTGGAGCTGCCCGTCGAGGTGCACACCAACTTACTAAAAAGTCAATAAACAACCAAATACATCAACAGACTCTCGCTCATGCGTTAATCAATAGGTGCTTGTCATTCCGTTGCGCCGCTTGAGTAGTGGGGCTATGTATGTTCTGGCTCAAGCCAATCGGAGACCAGCTTCTAGTTGGAGGCTACAGAAATGCCACGGGAATGCCATCGAAGTGTCACGGAAACGGCACAGAACATTGAAATGTCATGGAAATGCCAAGGAAATGCCACGGAAATGCCACCGAAGTGTCACGGAAACGTCACGGAACTTGGAAATGTCATGGAAATGTCACGAAAACGTCAAGAAAATGCCACGGAAACGTCAAGGAAATGCCACGGAAGAATTTATGTGTTCCGTGACGTTTTCTTGAAACTTCCGTGGCATTTTCTTGACGTTTCCGTGGCATTTCCATGACATTTCCATGTTCCATGACGTTTTCATGAAACTCCGGTGGCATTTCCGTGGCATTTTCTTGGCATTTTAATGACATTTCCATGTTCCGTGACGTTTCCGTGACACTTCGGTGGCATTTCCGTGGCCTCCAACTAGATGCTGGTATTTGATTGGCTTCAGCCAGAACATACATAGCCCCTCTACTCTTGTCATTCCGTAACTCCGCTTGTGTCATTTCTCTTGTCATCTCTCAGAGCTCCAACCTGCTGCTGCGCTCGTCTAAGTTGAGGCGTTTTTAGGATGCGAACGCTTATATGTAGGATATTGCCACCTTACGGAATTTGGACGAACTGCTCGACCACAACACGGACCTGGGCAAGAAGCTGTGCAAAATCGGCAACTCGATGGTCTACAAGCTGGTGCAGTGGACGAAAAGGCTGATAATCTCTTTGGAGCTGCCCGTCGAGGTGCACACCAACTTACTAAAATCTCAATAGACAACCAACTACATGAACACATTCTCGCCCCTGCGTTAATTGATAGGTGCTTGTCATTCTGTTGCTCCGCTTGTATCATCGCTCTTGCCATCTCTCAGAGCTCCAACCTGTTGCTGCGCTCGTCTGAATTGAGGCGTTTTCAAGATCCTAACGCTTTTTAGTAGGTTATCGCCACCTTGCGGAATTTGGACGAACTTGTCGACCACAATACCGAAGTGGGTGAGAAGCTGTGCAACATCGGTGACTCGATCGTCTACAAGCTGGTGCAGTGGACGTGGCTGCCCTTCTATTCGGTGCTACCCGTCGAGGTGCACACCAACTTACTAAAAACTCAATGAACAATCGAAAGCATCAACAGACTCTTGCTCCTGCGTTAATTAATAGGTGCTTGTCACTCCGTTTCTCCGCTTGTGTCATCTATCAGAGCCCCAACCTGTTGCTGCACCCGTCTAAGTTGAGGCGTTTTTAAGATGCGAACGCTTGTTTGCAGGACATCGCCACCTTGCGGAATTTGGACGAACTGCTCGACCACAACACCGACCTGGGCGAGAAGCTATGCAACATCGGCGACCCGATCGTCTACAAGCTGGTGCAGTGGACAAAAAGGTTGCCCTTCTATTTGAAGCTGTCCGTCGAGGTGCTGCACACCAACTTACTAAAAACTCAATAAACAACCAAATACATCAACAGACTCTTGCTACTGCGTTAATTAATAGGTGCTTGTCACTCCGTTTCTCCGCTTGTGTCATCTATCAGAGCCCCAACCTGTTGCTGCACCCGTCTAAGTTGAGGCGTTTTTAAGATGCGAACGCTTGTTTGCAGGACATCGCCACCTTGCGGAATTTGGACGAACTGCTCGACCACAACACCGACCTGGGCGAGAAGCTGTGCAACATCGGCGACTCGATCGTGTACAAGCTGGTGCAGTGGACGAAAAGGTTGCCCTTCTATTTGGAGCTGCCCGTCGAGGTACACACGAGGTTGCTGACGCACAAGTGGCACGAGCTGCTCGTGCTGACCACCTCGGCCTACCAGGCCATACACAAGGTGCAGGGGGAGCAGCAGATCGCTGCCACTGTGCTCGAGACCGATTTCAGCCAAGAGGTGAGTCTTTATCGTTCTTTCTTACACAATCTTTTATGTTTATGTTAGCACTAACTAGTGCACTGTCATAAACCGTTTTTTCCTCAGAGCTCTGTACTTTTTTGAAATAGTCATTGAAATTCACGATGTTTCATAACATGAAAGAATGCAACCATATAAGATTTAACTTTCGTATCCATTCTCTATTTCTGTAAACAGGTGCAAGAATATTTCAAATATGGAATACATTTTCTGGACTGAATGCTCACTGCAAATAACAGAGAACACAACACAAAACTGAAGAATCAGATAATATGAGGATTATCTTCGAATATTCGAAGTATTTGTTAAATTTGATGCTGGATTTGACTAGACTAGACTAGAAATTATTTTCTTGATATCTCTGCGAACTCTAAGCATTACGCTGTTGCCAGAGTTACAAAATATTTTGGGTTTAAATAGAATCTCGATTATCATCAGGAACATTAGCATATTCCTAATGGCAGTGGCACTGGTTGTTGAGGAATAAAGAGGAATATATCAACAAATTGCCACGTGAAAAGGTATGTGACGTCATCGAAAGCTGGCGTTTTCTGAAGGTGCCGATTTTAATCATTGAAAAAAGTATTCGTGATGATTTTTAAAAACTAATGATTGCATCAGATACCATTTATACTCGGAATGATCAATATAAATTTGTATGTGGCGTAAATTCGACTAGTATGTACAACCTTATTGGTATGTTGGTGTTTTCAGTGTCGGAGATTTTGAATTCTTTGTCCAAATTGACAAATTCAAAATGGTGGTTCCAAGATGGCGGACAAGATTTGTGATTATGGTCTGATGCGATTCAAAACTGATAATATTTGGGAGTTTCCGGGGTCAGAGATTTTGACTTTTCGATATGGCGGTTTCAAGATGGTGGACGAGACTTGTGCTTATGGTCTGATTTGATTAAAAATTGGTATGGGAGTGTTTCCGGGGTCATCAGTGATTTTGAGTTCCTTGTCGAAATTTATGAATTCATAGAGGTCGGTTCCAAGATGGCGGACAATATCTGTGTTATGGTCTGAATCGATTCAAAACTGATGATATTATGTGAGGGTTTCTGAGGTCAGGGATTTTGAATTCTTTATCGAAATAAATAAATTCAACATGGTGGCTCTAAGATGACGCGAGATCAAATGAAAATCTTTTCTGCGATCAATATATCGTGAAATGAATAGACTTTTCAATCATAATTTTCTTTTTGATCCCTACCCAGCATATGTGAGAAAATAATGGAGAAAAATCGCTTAATTCTAAATGTATATTCTAATTGATTCTCAGCGAGCACAAAAACATCTCAGAGATGTTAAAAGTACGAGATTTCGAGACATTGAACCTCCACTGCGATGTTCTGTTCACACATGAATAGAACTATTATAGAACAGCCAATGTCCGCCGCAGGCGGCAATTATCGAGATGTCCTTGATATCTCACAATACTACCTTCTCCCTAGTTCTTTTTGAAGCCTTTTCATGGACACAACAAAACATTTTCAACGCGTCTTGCGCACATTAAATCGCTGTAAAAAAAACATTTTCGAGGTACTTTTCTGAAGCCTTTTGTCAAAATGAACTTTTGCATTAGGATTCCATTTCCCTTGAATGAAAAAATGCATCAAAAATAGATTGAACATAAAAATATTCTCTTGATATGAAATTACCTCTTAATCGGTTTCTGAGTAGTGCTTACTACACACAGACATATAATTGGAAATAGGTTTCCCAATTTTTGAAATGTTCTCCACAATGCATAATTTTGCAACTGCGGAGAAGCTGTGTATTGATAAATTCGTACTTTTATATATTGATTACACTGATGAGGCACCGAACAACACATCTTGCATCTGATGGTCATTATTACAAACTAAATAAGTCTTCTAACACAATAAACTTCACCAAATTCCTTTCTGTTCGTTAGCATCGTGATGTAAGCGTGACACGCTGCAAACGCGAATGCCAATTGCGAACAAGAAGAACAAAATCGAAAACGAATCAGAATTCATCGTATTGTGACGTAAGCATGAGACGTTGTGGTGGGGCAAACAAAGAATGGGCACAAAAGAACAAAAACAATACTTTCAATATCCTTCTAAGACCTCTTTGGGAAGTGCATATTACGCCTCAAAAAACATCCTCATACCTACATTTCTAAAACATCCCAAAACATCCCAGGGATACCTCTCAGTAGGCAAACAAAGAAATGCCACAGAAGAACAAAAACAATACTTCAATATCCTTCAAAGACCTCTTTGGGAAGTGCATATTACGCCTCAAAAAAACATCCTCATGCCTACATTTCTAAAACATCCCAAAACATCCCAGGGATACCTCTCGGTAGGCAAACAAAGAAATGCCACAGAAGAACAAGAACAATACTTCAATATCCTTCAAAGACCTCTTTGGTCAGTGCATATTACGTCTCAAAATAACATCTTCATGCCAACATTTTCAAAACATCCCAAAACATCCTAGGGATGTTTGTGCTCGCTGGGTTAGGACATACATGAAAAATTGAAATTGAAAGTTTCTATAGTGTTTGTCAGGAATATTAAAAAATAATCATCAAAATATTCTTGTTTACAGTCAATCCCAATGAATATTCTCAATAGAGACTGAATTATTTCTGCTTGTATTTCTCTACCGGGACAATCGCCGATAACAGTTCAACGACCAAAGCTAAATTGAAATTGAAATTGGGTCGACAACATAATTATGTTAGACGCGACATTTTTATAGTGATCATTTTTCCGGTATATACGATACGCCTAATTGCATAAGAACAATAAGAAATATCGATTTTTCATGTCGCCGAATTCGGCATTACCATATGGGCTCGTTTCTACTGACGAATCATCAAACCACCAACATACAGGGTGATTTACGTAAGCCACACAGAAGTTTAGAAGAAAAAGCAATACAAGTCCCAAAGTCTGTCGGCCACGAAACATTTTTTAATAGGTAGTGTAACTAGTTTCGGCCACAGGCCATCATCAGACACAAAAATGATGTATTCGGAAGTACCTAAAAGATTCGAAGAACCAGAAACATCATAAATCACATGAAAAGTAAAACATGACAAAGAAAAAGTTACATCAGTCAATGTCAAATATGATAAAACTGATAAGACATTGACAAGAACCAAATAAAGGACCCCGCACGAAAACACGGGAAATTGTCTCTCGGTCGAATTGGCTGAAATTTTATCATGTTATTGTGGGATGGCTCATTAGAAAAATGTGTAAGTTTGAAAAGTTTTATATGTTTTGTTTCTGAGATATAAGCCGACAAAGTTCGTAAAAACGTCGTATCGGGGTAGGATTGACAAAGAAAAAAACTGTTTTTTTTAGTATAAATAAGACGAAATAATCTAGAAAATGTATCGATCGGAACTCAAATACATGTCTAGTTATGATCACATAAATTATAGTAAATCAGGGTGTATACGAGGCACGGTCAAAAGATTCATTTTTCGGAAAAAAATTCGAGCACTATTCCAAAACCAACAAGTTATATTTTGGTGAGACATTATAGTTTTAGTCTATTGTAGGCTTCGAAAACGTATTTTGATTCTTGATAACTATCTCTGTTCGAAATATGAATTTTCAGAATTTCATGTTATACCCCTTTTTGAAAACAGAGAAAGGAATTGATTGATACTGTTGATTGAATGAAAGCTGAGGAAACTTACTAGCGAATTCAGTTGTGCAATATTGCCTTTCATTTAGATACAGGGTGTGTTAGATTTTGTTGAAGATTATTTAACATGTTTCAATTGAATATCTCGAAAACAGTTCCGTTAATTTGGATCTCATTTTACACACACTATTTTCAATATGTTGACTATCATATGCAAAAAGTTTTTAAATTTTTTTATGTTTCGTTTCTGAGATATGCCTTTTTGAGTTTACAGTATTACAAGTATTAACGGGTTAATATACCTCGGATATTACTCAAAAATTGATATCTCAGAAACGAAACATAAAAAATTGAAAAACCTTTTGCATATGATAGTCAACATATTCAAAATAATGTGTGTAAAATGAGATCCAAATTAACGGAACTGTTTTCGAGATATTCAATTGAAACATGTTGAATAATCTTCAACAAAATCTAACACACCCTGTATCTAAATGGAAGGCAATATTGAATAACTGAATTCGCTAGTGAGTTTCCTCAGCTCTCATTCAATCAACAGTATCAATCAATCTCTTTCTTTATGATCAAAAACAAGCTTTCAATTGTTTTCAAAAGGGGTATAACACAAAATTCAAAGAATTCATATTTCGAACAGAGATAGTTATCAAGAATCAAAATACGTTTTCGAAGCCTACAATAGACTGAAACTATAATATCCCACCAAAATATAACTTGTTGGTTTTGGAATAGTGCTCGAATTTTTTTTCTGAAAAATTAATTTTTTGACCGTGCCTCGTATACACCATGATTTACTATAATTCATGTGATCATAACTAGACATGTATTTGAGTTCCGATCAATACATTTTCTAGCTTATTTTGTCTTATTTATACTAAAAAAACAGTTTTTTTTCTTCGTCAATCCTACCCCGATACGACGTTTTTACGAACTTTGTAGGCTTATATCTCAGAAACTAAACATACAAAACTTCTCAAACTCACATATTTTTCTAATGAGCCATCCCACAATAACATAGTTAAATTCCAGCCAATTCGACCGAGAGCCAATTTACCGTGTTTTCGTGCGGGGTCCTTTAGAAAGCAATGGAAACAAGGGTTTGGGAGAAGAATAACAATAGACCAATATGGGTTATAATATGTTTTGATGCTAATCATTGAGATTTTGAAGTACGAAAAATTAAGCTACGTTCAAAATTGGTTTGATCATTAAAACAAGTGAAATTGGGATTATTTACACATTTTTGAATTTCTAGAATTTTCAATAGGTTCAACCTAGAGCCTTTATTACAAATGTGGAGAAAATCAATGTTGTCAGATATATTGAAATTATGATTGGATGATTCCATTATATGGTTTGAGAAAGAGGAGCTAGTGTTTCTTCTTGGACCACTTTGAGAAATATGGATGGTTTCTGCGATTTCACACAGAAGTTTTCCAACTTACAGTTACAGTTGAATTAAAAACTAGAAAAAATAATGGGATGCTGTTATTATCGATTATATTCAGTCGACCTGAAATATTTTTAGATCTTCAGCTATACAGGGTGTGCCAAAAGTCAGAGCCAACTTCCTAATTTTAATAAGAAGTCTGCATTTTTTTCACACTGCTCGATTGGCCTATCAATTCGTAGTTCAGATAACCTAATTTATATCAACTTATTCATCAGAGTTTTTAATATACATCTCTGAAATGTCTGTACAAAATCTCAACACATATTTCTGAAGTCGAAATAAGTTGATCTGAAGCAACTTACCTCAGTCTGAAACTGCTTAATTTCCGAGATACAGGATGGTAAAGTTAAAATGTTCCAGTTCGATGACTTTTCATCAATAACTCCAGTTCAAATCACCTTTAATTGAATTTAATATTGAAGTGAACATGAAAATTTTGAAAATTCACGAGATTGCAAGATCAGTAATAGATTATGTAGCAACATGATATGGTGATGATAACCTCTTCTACACGCTTTGATCGAAAGAAAACTTCTCAATCGGTTTCCTGCTTCGAAATTATCTTGCTCGTCAAAACAAGATTTTTTTTATTACTTCATGTCATAATTGTTGGTTGAGGACCACGCAGTATATAAGCGTAGGTTGATCATGCATCATTTCAAAATTTTCTACCACCGTTCGAACCAGATTAACAGGAACACAACGCCAATAGAAATTAGAGCATCAAATTATGCATTATCTTAATCAAACATTCATATTTCAGTAACGCATGTGTCAATTCCATAAATTTTTCCACAATATCGAGAAAACATATGAAGCAATATTTTTTTGACCCAAAAAAAAATATAAATTTTTTTTTTTCAAACGGGAGGCGATTGGAATTTTTGGAAAAATGCACAACTGTGATTATCATCCTGTAGAATCTCATTAGCAAAAGATGAAATAGTCATATCCATAGGTTCGATAGTCAACGAAACGAGCTTTCAGAAACTGAAAAATAATTGTAAATCGGTTGGAGAAATCGAAAGTTATGATGATTCAAATTTGATAGAAAAAGGGCGATTTTACGTTTCATGTGTTGAGCAGTTTAGTTCAGATAAGTTACTGTAATCCCACTGTAATCTACAATTTTCATGGGAATTTGGGATAAATTGATCAGGGTGCCATGCAGCTATTGGATTTCGATGAACTGCTTGACAGGAGTTATAAAAACATCGCATTGCAAATTGAACGAGGAAATCGACAGTTTTTTATTTAATATTTACGGAGATATATAAGCAGGAGTATTATTTGATTAGTGATTTTTTTATCTAGCATCGGCTGATTCATGGAAAGACGATAACAATAGCCATACTTATTTTGATAGCAAATATTTACAATTTCGTACAGTCCAAAAAAACTGCGCCGAATATTTTTCAATTGATAATTCTGATTCGATTAAGATTGGGTATTACATTCTGTGAACCTATCTATATCTATACTTGGATGGCAGAATACGTTTCCATTTACACTATCGTATATTTAACGGTGTTATTTAATGTTTGTTTGTCCCGTCGAATATTATGCAACAATCTGAAAAGTTAGAATATACTGTGTGAATTCAAGCGATTTGGTATTCACGCTACGAAATGTCAGATTTTATCATTGCAACCCCGCAATAATACAGGGTGAGTCGAGAGGGACGCACCAAACGTCAGGTGTGTATTGTACACGTAAAAATAATTTGAAAAAAACTATATGTTCTTATACGATTCTCATTTGTTTTCATTCTGTATTTGAATACATGTGTATACGTATAAAAAATTAAAATTACATTTCGTATACAAAATTAAAATTATATTTCAATTTCATGCAACCTCTAAACGTATGAAAAATAGTTATTTATTATACAAGGGAAAAAAGTAGTACATTTTAGCCCCAGGTTGTGTTGTCAGACAAAAATCCGTGAGCTGAAATCTAATATTTTTCCCGTGTATAATACACTATTTTTTTCTGTGACAAAAGAAAGGATGAATCAATATTGAGAAGATATTATATTATTTTGGAATCTGAAAATAATCGACGTGAAATTTTAAGTTTTTGACAGTAGGGACACCTACGTTGTAGGCATCTTTATCATTCTTTAGAAGTAATCAAATATATGATATCCCTTCTGTCAGTCTAATTCTGTGATTTGATTTCAAGAAATTCCAAATTTAGTGTTTGTTTAGTAATATACGTAACCGCGAAGTCGAATGGAAGATAACAGGACTTGCAGTTCTTCCTCGGAGACGGTATTATTGACTCATTTTTGGGAACTATAGCACAACAAAAGCCATGATCAGTGTATGATATATATGATATACAGTGTGTCCCACTTACCATGCTCACCATGGATATCTTTTTAACGGTGAGAGATACGAGGTCGGTTAAATGACACCAAATGTGGAGTTTGTCAAGGCCAACTATAATGTGAAAAAATATTTTGATAAAATCTATTCGTTTTTGTTTTATACGCAAAAAACAGATTTTGATCATTTTCATGTCTCCTCCGTAACTTCTTTATTTACGAAAATATTCAAATAGGAATTTCACATTCTCATGGCAGTTTTTCAAAGTGATTTGGAAAAAAATATGAAATTTTTACCAACTCTTCTAGAATTTGAGATATCAGCACCAACTTTAGTTTTTCAAATGTAGGTCATAGCTCACTATGACTTAGTTACAAATAACTTTTTTTTCTCTTTCAGATGATTTGTCGCAGTAATAGTTTTGTGTTGATAACAACGGCGTTATCGTCATTTATACAAGAACAAAAAATTATTTGGAAGCCGCCATCTTGAATTTATAAATTTTAACAAAAAATCTTGATCTCCGACCTCAAAAACCCCCACTCACCCATTTTGAATGGAATCGGACCAAATCTTGTCCGCCATCTTGGAGCTGCCATTTTTTTTTAATTTCAACAAAAATTCCATAACTCCGATTGGAATTTGGCAGGTGTTCATAATTTTGGTGACAATACATTATGGAATTTTTGTTGAAATTAAAAAAAATGGCTGCTCCAAGATGGCGAAAAGATTTGCTCCGATTAGATTCAAAATTGGTAAGTGGGGGTTTTTGAGGTCGGAGATCAAGATTTTTTGTTAAAATTTATAAATTCAAGATGGCGGCTTCCAAATAATTTTTTGTTTTTGTATAAATGACGATAACTCCGTTGTTATCAACACAAAACTATTACTGCGACACATTATCTGAAAGAGAAAAAAAAGTTATTTGTAACTAAGTCATAGTGAGCTATGACCTACATTTGAAAAACTAAAGTTGGTGCTGATATCTCAAATTCTAGAAAAGTTGGTATAAATTTCATACTTTTTTCGACATGACTTTGAAAAACTGCCATGAGAACGTGAAATTCCTATTTGAATATTTTCATAAATAAAGAAGTTATGGAGGAGACATGAAAATGATCAAAATCTGTTTTTTGCGTATAAAACAAAAACGAATAGATTTTATCAAAATATTTTTTCACATTATAGTTCGCCCTGACAAACTTCACATTTGGTGTCATTTAACCGACCTCGTATCTCTCACCGTTATAAAGATACCCATGGTGAGCATGGTAAGTGGGACACACTGTATACGGGAAAAAAGTACTCACTCTTTTCCCACGGGAAAAAAGTAATTCATGAAAAGTGACATTTTATAACCTGCCAACAGAGATGAAATCCCAAACATTTTTCCCGCCACAGAAAAAATGAAATTTTACTAGTATGATGGATTCCTCTTTCCACCAGCTTTCCATTGAAGGGTCACAAGCCATAGGGTTTCATTTGAAAAAATCATGTTGAGGGTTTTTTCAGCTACCCCTGGAGGGATATATTCTCGATATTGTTTGCAAAAAAGTATAACAAAAGTAAAGGAAGGGGGGGTACATTAAAGAAAACTGTACTGTATAAAAATCAGCTTGGTTAGTGATATAACAATGTATTCCTATTGATCCTAGGTACACACGTTGTTCCTCAAACATAGTAGGAATTCACTTTAGTGCGCTCCAAAAACAAATTTTGTCTTAATTTTTTTTTGAAAATTTTTCTTGGTTACAGGTGGAATCGAACCTGTGTACACTGCAGAACTGCCTGATATCGATGATGGGTAGAGAGATAACCATCGAGCAACTCAGACAAGACGTGGGCCTGATGATTGAAAGGATCACCCACGTGACGCTGATGTTCAGACAGATCAAGCTGACCATGGAAGAATACGTGTGCCTTAAAGTTATCACTATGCTGAATCAAGGTGAGCAAAAACCGATAATATGAAAACTCGATGTCCCATATTTTTCACACGTAATTCACATTTTGACCCAATTAGAAAAATATTGGTACGCCCATGGAATGAGAATTCGGATGTGTTCTTCGTTTTTTGTCTCCCTCTGTACATTTGTCAAATGATGTTTAATTTTACAAAATTCAGCGAAATTATGGATTAAAAAAAGATCGAATAGTACTCCACCAGAAATTACTGAAAAAGCAGTACATTACTTCACAGATCTTCCACTCACTTTGACGTTCGTCTACTTAGATGCAAGATGTACCAGTTTTTTTGCCCTAGAGCGCTGAAGTTCTACTTTGCGTCCGCTGGCCGAGGCGATAAAGTACATCTTCAGGTCCCTTCGTTCACGAAAAAATTCCCTGTGTTCTAATTTTGAAATTAGCGCTCGAAATTGTAAGTTTGTCTCTAAAATATAAAAAATAGTGTTGCTACGATGAGATTTTAATTCTTGAAGAATTTTGGGTGCGCTCATGAGTTAGGTACATTAGTTTAAATCGTTCACTGGTGACGAACACTTTCAGTATTTCGAGTCTCATGAACAACATTCGATCAACTCGAATAGAAACAATGTTCTATTTTCAATTTATTATGCAATTTGTTTGACCACATTGAAATGTCAGTGTCAGAATGTGTTCTCTTCAAGGACTATAATCGGATAAAAATCCTGAGAATTCGAGGTAGGTAGGTACAGAAACAACTCGTTTGGAAAGTTAATTTGGATGAAATGAAACCAAGGAAATCCCACTGACGTCAAAGATTTTCACTTTCGTATTGGAATTAGTATTTTGCCGTTTTGTTTTTTAAAAATATGTGGATGAATTATGGACTTCGCTGGTGGTGCTTTCACCAAATACTGGAATAATTCGATTCATTTTAATATTTGGTGGAGGCACAGAAACTTTGCGAATCCACCAGAAATTCAAGAATTTTCAAATTGCTCCATAATATCTTATTGATAAATTCTTGTGTTCAACCTCTTTTATTTTTGAAAAACATGAAAACAAAACCGACAACAATGAATTATTGAAAATAACAATTATTGCTAAACTATTTATTTAGTTATTATTAAATGTACAGGGTTTAGAAAACCTTCATGAAATATGTTATTCAATTTGTTTGACCACATTGTAATGACTGTGTCAGAATGTGTTCTCTTCAAGGAGTATGATCGGATAAAACTTCTGAGAATTCAAGATAGAAAGATACAAAAACAACATATTTGGGAAAATCAATTTGGATAATAATTGAAAATCAAGGAAATCCCTCTGACGCCAAAGGCAACTACTGGACTTTCATTTTTGTATTGGAATTCGTATTTTGCCGTTTCGTTTTTCTTAAAATATGTGGATGAATTATTGACTTCGCTGGTGGTGCTTTCACCAAATACTCGAATAATTCGATTTATTTTAATATTTGGTGGAAGCACAGAAACTTTGCGAATCCACCAGAAATTCAAGAATTTTCTAATTGCTCCATATTTTACAAAGGGAAAACAACTCTTCAATAGGTGTACACCATGGAATTTTAAGTACTTGAAATATCATTTTTGGGACATAAAGTAAAATTTAATAAGCTTTTAAGTACTTCAGTACTGAAATTATTAATTGAAGTACCTGTTAAATTATGTATTACCTATATTTTTAGTACCTTAAGTACCAGTTTTGAATATTTTGAGTGCTTTTTAATTGCCAGATATGGTATACACATTTTGGGTAGTTGTTCCCCCCTCAATATTTCATTAATGAATTCTTGTGTACGATGAGAACTCTTTCATTTTTGGAAAATATGAAAATATGAGTCAAGATACATTCAGCGGCAAAAAAAACTGACAACAATTAATTATTGAAAAAATCAATTATTGCTAAACTATTTGTTTAGTTAATATGTCTCTTCAAGGACTATAATCGGATAAGAATCCTGAGAATTCGCGGTAGGTAGGTACAGAAACAACTCATTTGGAAAGATAATTTGGATGAATAAAAGCCAAGGAAATCCCACTGACTGACTGCAAAGATGTATTGGAATTCGTATTTTGTCGTTTTGTTTTTCTTATAATATGCTGATAATCTTTGGACTTCGACACCAAATACTCGAAGATTTCAATTATTTATAATATTTGGTGAAGGCACTGAAAAACTTCGCGGGTCCACCAGAAATTCAAGAACTTTCAAATTGCTCCCACGAGAACTCTTCTTTTTTAGGAAAATATGAAAACATGAGTCAAGATACATTCACTGGCGAAAAAAATAATAGGCCACAATTAATTATTAAAAAAAAAACAATTTCCTGACTATTTATTTAGTTGAGTATGTTATGCAACATGTTTGACCATATTGGAATGTCAGTGTCAGCATGTCTTGTCTACAAGGATAATAATCGATCCTGAGAATTCGAATGATTGAGAACCAAGGAAATCCCTCTGATGTCAAAGGTAGCGACTACGTCTGTATAAAAATTCGTATTTTGGGATGAAAATCCTGAGAATTCGAGGTAGTCAGGTACAGAAACAACTCATTTATTTGGAAAGTTTATTTGGATGATTGGATACCATGGAAATACCTCTGCCTTCTAAGATACCTACCTGCCTTTCACTTTTGTATTGGAATTCGTATTTTGGCGTTCTGTTTTTCTAGAAATATGCGGATAATTTCAAGCCTTCCCTGTTGGTGCCTTCACCAAATACTCAAATAATCATGTTTATTATAATATTTGGTGAATGCGAAATAAAATTGGGACTCCGCCAAAAATTATAAAAATCCTCCTTATTTCATCAATAAGTTCTTGTGTTTCACGAGATCTTTTATATCAGGGAAGATATTGAAACATGAGTCATTAACTTATAGGACGAATCTGGATCTTTCTCGTTTGATATTTTTACAAAAATGAAAAATATTCACCGGCAATAAGAGAATCGGCTTCCCTTGAATATTAAAAATAATAATTGCGAACCTATGTATTTAGTTGAGGAATATCCAAGATATTTCGATACGGCCGAGTATCTGTTAAAATTCTAAAATTATAATATTTGGTGAAGAGGCAAGAACTTTGCTAGTACGCTGAAAAATTGAAAAATTCGATTCTTTCTAATTTTATAGATTTCCTTTTTTCCCCAATGAGATTTTCATTTGTTATACTATGAGTACCTCAAAATATTGGGGTTAAACATCGATAGCTTATTGCATAATTACAAAGAGTGTCCTCTATTCCAGCGAAAAATATCAGACCATAAGACATAGAACTAATGATTTCATCTGAATCTAGTTTTTTTTTCCAAAATTCCGTTCAAAATTATATAGTTGTGAGTAATGAAAATCGAATAGTTTTGATAATAAAAACCAATGCAAGTCCAGGCTGAATAAATATTTCGGTTCCACATTCGCAATCAACTTTGTATTTCGCCGTGTTAATTTTTGATATTAAGTGATAATTTCTAGCCTTCAGGGGTTGTGCCTTCACCAAATATTCGAAAAATTTGATTGATTACAATATATGGTGAAGGCGCAGGAAATGTGTCCTTCAAAAATTCGATCTAATCTTTCAATTCCATCGTTATATTTAGTTTTCCCCGAGAACTTTTTCATGCAGAGATCTAATAATACACCAATTAGTGACATCTTAAGTCGATAGGACGAGTGGTTGAGCAATAGAGTCTGAGTGATGAAAATAAAAATGTATCCATCTAATAGAATTTGAAGAAGAGTTGTATGTACTTGGAGACATTATTTGATCAGAATTCATATCAATAATTGATTTAATTGTCACACTTGATATTTTTGTCGATATTTACAGATAAATCTTAACCATAGTTTGGACGTAAACAAAGTTTATCGAGGACTTTGAGAACGAGCCAGTTTCAAATGTATTACAGCGAATGATTGCCTGGAATGATTCATTCTTATTAGTTGAAATAACTAAAACACCACAATTTGACGTGAAAAATAAAATTATCAAGTTTATTTGCATACTAAAAACTGAGGTAGTCCCTGTGACATAAAAAATATATGCACAATTTTATATTGGAAGTTGTATTTGCCGTCTTTATTTGAGGAATATGCCATAGTTTAATATCTGGTGGAGGCGCTGACATGTTTGGAGACTCAATAGTTATTCTTGAATTAACGGCTAAATATGCACCTAAATCGAGTCTAAAATCGTTACCATTCAAAGACAACAATTTTATTCAGAAAAAAATACTCTTGACTTTTCCATATATTGAATATTGCATCAAGAAAACTGAAATATTATGTTCACTTCCTATAAAATATTGTGATGCGCTTTTTCCTCTTGATTTTTTCAGCAAAATCTGCCAGTAGTTCGGGACCCAGTGAATTGGAGATAATCCACGAGAGATATATGACTTGCCTACGTGTTTATACGCAACACATGTACCCACAACAAGCTACTAGGTTTCAAGACTTACTAGTTAGGTTACCAGAAGTAAGTAAACATACATTATACTCATTTCAGGAAGTTGATATTAATTGGCCCTTACAAATACCCACAGAATATCTACTTACTTCAAAAAATTACAAACTATCAGAAATACTAAGTTTATGTCACAGATAGAACCTCACAAATACTAATGAAGTCTTCGAATATGTTTATGAATTGAAAATACTTATTATTTAGCGATGAAATTATTACATGTATAGAACTTTATCACACAGATCCTTATAGAAACTGTTAAAATCTATGCATAAGATTCAATAAATCAAATAACATACTGTCAGATAGATCCTGACAAATACTCATAGATCCTCAGAGCTCTTATGAGGTTCAATAAGGAATCTTCATCAGCTCAATGAGATTCGCTTCCAAATTCAATCTGCATTATTGCTCTTGTTAGAGTGCACAATGTTTTGAGTTTCTTTCATGCTTTCGATCCTTATACAGATTCTCTTAAAATCCATACAATTTGGTAAGGCTAATTAGAAATTCCAATTATATTAAGATATTATGATGACATATTAGAAAGAGTGACAGATAGATAAAAATAAATACTCGTAGATCCTGTAAGGGTTATATGATATCCCATAGAGTGTTTTTATCAGCTCTTCTATGCGATATCCTTCCAGATTCAGTCTGCATTGCCGCTTTTGTTGGAGAGCAAAATATTTTACGTAGCTTTACTACTGAACGGTGACATACTGATTCATCCTTATTAAAACTCATAAAACCGTCACATGAGATCTGATGAGACAAATTGCACCATCTTAATAATTTATTAAAAGATGCCAGATAGATCCTTGCAGACGCTCTTATGAGAGTTTATGAGATTTTATAAGGATTTTAAATCTGCCCTTCAATGCGATTTTCTTTCAGATTCAATCTGCAGCGTCGCTCCTGCTGGAGAGCAAAATGTTCTACGTTCCTTTCCTGCTGAACTCGGCCATTCAAAGGTAGTACGCGGCAGATGGCGCCAGCGTCAGCGGGACAAAATAGGTGAATTTCTCCATGGAAACGCGACAGATATTTATACAGAGAGAAAGAGAGAGAGTTTAGAAAATGTGTACATAATCGTCGACGCATATACACGAAAACAAAAAATTATATTAAAAATTATCTGTTATCTGTTAAGATGTTCGTCTTGGATATCAAGTTGACTGTGTATTCCGAAAACGTACTGATGATGATATATGTATTCGTCGAGACTTTTTTTCTGTCGCGAGGGAAAAATGACGTTTGTGCTCGGAGAATGAAAGACTGAGTTTGACATTGTCTGAGTATGAACCCTGAAACTTGAGTACAGACCACTTATGCAATGATCCACGAAAAATATTATTTCCAGCTAGGAGTTTTTCTGATTGGCTCATTCAAATGTGGATATCAATCCAGAAAACAGTGGGGAAATAGAACGATATTCTTTACTTTGAAAATATCAATGGTGGAGTGTAAAAGGAATGTGAAGGGTTCGAAATATCGAGGAAATTTTTCGAAAATCTCCACTATACCCAATAAAGAAGATAACCAAAAAGTCAAAAACTGCTTGGAATACCAAATAAATTCCAGAAATCTAAATATATCAACAACCCCATGCTTCGTATATTGAATTAAAAAACGGAAATGTTGACTTTTATGAACAATCGATTTGACACATTCTCGACTTTTAACTTATTCAGTAAATACTCACCAAATTCCTGCATTTTTTCTCTGAGAAATACTTGCTCAATTCTGATCCAACTCTGACAACCACATAATTTCATTTACTTCTGTGTAGGACTTCAGTTGACAATTTTTCTTATTTTCCAGCTAACTATGCAGTATTTTCTTCGAAATGATTATCATACTTTTTCTCAGTATTTTATACACGCCTGGCAAGGTGGCACGGTTTCCCTATATGAAAATTATTCTTGCCACACGTGTATATACTGACTTGTTCTTTATTATCCTCTTTTTACCACTGACCTTTTTCTTTTGTTCAATGCACGAAATTCTGGCTTTATTTTCTTTCTACTTCTGATCTCTTCATTATCTTGCCTAATATACCCTCTATTATTTTGTCTTTTCGATTCTATTCAATAGTTGACAAACATTCTTATTGTCTGTATACACGCCTGGCAAGGTGACACGGTTTCTCTATATTAAAATTATTCTTACCACACGTGTATATACTGACTAGTTCACTCAATGCTAGTTCTTTATTTTCCTTTTTTTACCACTGACCTTTTTCTTTTGTTCAATGCATCAAACTCTGGCTTTATTTTCTTTCTACTTCTGATCTCTTCATTGTCTTGCCTACCATACAAACAAAATAATAGAGGATTTTGTTTTTTCAATTTTATTCAATAGTTGACAAACATTCTTATTGTCTGTATACACGCCTGGCAAGGTGGCACGGTTTTTCTTTAAATCATTCTTGCCACACGTGTATATACTGACTAGTTCTTTATTTCCCTTTTTTTTACCACTGACCTTTTTCTTCTGTTCGATACATCGAACTCTGGCTCTATTTCCTTTCTACTTCTGACCTCTCCATTGTCTTATCTACTATACCCTCTATTATTTTAATTCTATTCAATAGTTGACAAACATCCTTATTGTCTGTATACACGCCTGGCAAGGTGGCACGGTTCCTCTATATTAAAATTATTCTTACCACACGTGAATATACTGACTAGTTCTTTATTTTCCTTTTTTTACCACTGACCTTTTTCTTTTGTTCAATGCATCAAAGTCTGGCTTTATTTTCTTTCTACTTATGATCTCTTCATTGTCTTGCCTACTATACCCTCTATTATTTTGTTTCTTCAATTCTATTCAATAGTTGACAAACATTCTTATTGTCTGTATACACGCCTGGCAAGGTGGCACGGTTTCTCTATTTTAAAATTATTCTTGCCACACGTGTATATACTGACTAGTTCTTGATTTCCATTTTTTACCACAGACCTTTTTCTTTTGTTCAATGCATCAAAGTCTGGCTTTATTTTCTTTCTATCTCTGGCCTCTCCATTGTCTTATCTACTATACCCTCTTTTATTTTGGTTCCTCCATTCTATTCAATAGTTGACAAACATTCTTATTGTCTGTATACACGCCTGGCAAGGTGGCACGGTTTCTCTATTTTCAAATTATTCTTGCCACACGTGTATATACTGACTTGTTCTTTATTTTCCTCTTTTCACCATTGACCTTTTTCTTTTGTTCAATGCAATGTTCAATGCAATGGCTTTATTTTCTTTCTACTTCTGATCTCTTCATTATCTTGCCTAATATACCCTCTATTATTTTGTTTTTTCAATTCTATTCAATAGTTGCCAATCATTCTTATTTTTTCTTCAAATCCACTCGATACTATAAATACAAATTGACAAGACTGACTGGAGCTTTATTTTCTTCGACTTAGTACCAATCTGTGACCTTTTTTATTTTTCCAATGATGCATTGAACTATGTTCTGCGTGGCATGAGCTAGCAAAGTAGTTGTTTTTCTCCCGAAATCTACCATTGTTGTTCATTTCATGAACATTGTGTAGAAATGACTTTGAGCTTTTTGTATTTATTTACCATTTCATTCCACTCTGAGCATTGTAGCTATTTTTCAACGTCAAACTAAAACTCATTTTCCTTCAATACTCGTCGAACTAAAATTCTCATTTTTCTGCTATCCATTTCACTATGACTGATTCCATTTCTGTGAACCACTGAAATTGTTGGTGATCTGTACTCTGGTAGGTATACAATTCATGTAAAAATATTGAGCACGAAAAAATTGTGTACGGACAAGCCGCTACATAAGTCTGAGTAAGTTGCCTTCTATTCCTTGTAAACGGTGGCACTATATTCCCGATGTACTGGGCGTTTTCCATCTCGAGTCCCCCCCCAATTCTCACTAGAGTTAGTCTCAAATACATCACACAAACGTTTTAATATAATATACGAGATGATATTATACATGGCGTTTCCGAAATTGGGGTAATAAATTGAATGAGGTGTTCTATGAGATATACAGGGTCTCCCAGAATGAAGTTCGTATACTCGGGGAGATAATTCTGCAGATGGAAATATGAAGAAATGTTTCTATCAACATGTGTCCAAAAATTATCCCTAACTGCGTTAGAGCCCTTTGAATGTATGTCCTTGAATGCAGTTTTCTTCAATTATCTTTGTTATCATTGCCTCTAGGATCATGAAATTTGGTATCTGAGAGTGATTTGATCTTAGAAATCGTTTCTTAGTACGAAATTCATGATTCAATATACAGGGAGGTGCGAAACTCGTGAGTGAAGCTATAAAAAAAAAGTTTTTTGTTTCAAGATGTATCTCAATTTCACTAGCAGAATATGCTATGCATTCATTATTCCAAATTTTTTGGGATTTTCTCTTCTCGTTTCTATAAAATAAAAATATGAATATTATTTCAATATACGTGTAGTAAGGACAAATCAGATGATTTGCCCCATTGGAAAAGAAGATAACAGCCAGAAGAGAAAAATCAAAGAATCTGCTTGCATTTTTATAGTATCGGTTACGAGTTTCGCACTTCCCTGTATATTGAATCATGTTTTTCGTACCACGAAACGATTTCTACGATCAAATCACCGACAGGTATCAAATTTCGTGCTGCTAGGATCAATGATACTGAAGATAATTGCAGAAAACTGCATTTAAAGATCTACTTTCGAAGGACTCGAGCGCCTTTAGGAATCATTTTCGGACACCTGTTGATAGGAACATTTTTTTCTTATTTCCATCTGTAGAATTACCTCCCGGAATATACGAACGTTATTCTGGGATACCCTGTATATAATCACACGATAAATCACAAAACAAAATTCTGTCATCTTCCAACTATTATTGAACGTCTGGCAACATTGCAAAAGTCATTGATACTTCGGGTTCTTGTGATTTCGCCGAAAGCAAACGCTTTTGAGTTGCTCTATCAAAATCTTCTCAATGATTTACAATAGTTTCAGGCGAACATTTGTTTTTTTTTTCGACAAAAATATGTTCGTCATGGAAACCATCCATCCTTCTCAAAGTGGTCCAGATTTTTTCAAAGAAAAAACAATACACTAAGTCGGTCGGCCACAAAGTTTTATTTCAAAAAATTTACTTTTTTGTGACTAGTTTCGGCTCAAACAGCCATCTTCAGACACAATACACAGTACCTGTAAAGATATTTGGTTTACAAGGATAATACGATAGGAAAAACATACCTAAAAGGCCACGTGGAAATCACATAATTAATAAAATAAGAATATTGAGGAGCAGTGGTCATTTGGCCAAAATTCAGTTCGGTAAAGAAATATTAAAAATTTTTAACCGACTATGAACAGCCAAAAGAACCCAACAATCATTTGGTTCAACATTGTTGGGTTCTTTTGGCTATTCATAGTCGGTTCAAAAATTTCAATATTTCTTTACCGAACTGAATTTTGGCCAAATGACCCCAGCGAGCACAAAAACATCTCAGAGATGTTAAAAGTACGAGATTTCGAGACATTGGACCTCCACTGCGATGTTCTGTTCACACATGAATAGAACTATTATAGAACAGCCAATGTCCGCCGCAGGCGGCAATTATCGAGATGTCCTTGATATTTCACAAAACTACCTTCTCCCTAGTTTTTTTTAAAGCCTTTTCATGGACACAACAGAACATTTTCAACGCGTCTTGCGCACATTAAATCTCTGTAAAAAAAAACATTTTCGAGTTACTTTTCTGAAGCCTTTTGTCAAAATGAACTTTTGCATTAGGATTCCATTTCCCTTGAATGAAAAAATGCATTAAAAATAGATTGAACATAAAAATATTTTCTTGATATGAAATTACCATCTGAATTGGTTTCTGAGTAGTGCTTACTACACACAGACATATAATTGGAAATAGGTTTCCCAATTTTTGAAATGTTCTCCACAATGCATAATTTTGCAACTGCGGGGAAGCTGTATATTGATAAATTCGTACTTTTATATATTGATTACACTGAGGCACCGAACAACACATCTTGCATCTGATGGTCATTATTACAAACTAAATAATTCCTTTCTGTTCGTTAGCAGCATGATCTAAGCGTGACACGCTGCAAACGCGAATGCCAATTGCGAACAAGAAGAACAAAATCAAAAACAAATCAGAATTCATCGTATTGTGACGTAAGCATGAGACGTTGTGGTGGGGCAAACAAAGGAAGGGCACAAAAGAACAAAAACAATACTTTCAATATCCTTCTAAGACCTCTTTGGGAAGTGCATATTACGCCTCAAAAAAACATTCTCATGCCTACATTTCTAAAACATCCCAAAATATCCCAGGGATACCTCTCAGTAGGCAAACAAAGAAATGCCACAGAAGAACAAAAACAATACTTCAATATCCTTCAAAGAACTCTTTGGTCAGTGCATATTACGTCTCAAAATAACATCTTCATGCCAACATTTTCGAAACATCCCAAAACATCCCAGGGATGTTTGTGCTCGCTGGGACCACTGCTCCTTTCTAATTTTA